ATTTATTCTCAGCCAGAATTACCATCTGTTTAATTTCTCACACCTTTTTATAAATTGCATCTGGAAATTAATATTAATCTCTCATACAGACATTATCAGATTTTTATTATCACCTGTTTCTGGATTAGAGAAAGGCAGGTGTAGGGAGCAAGGCAGAATTTCAGCCAGGCAGCTCAAAATTACAGAGGTACCAAAACAAGAAGCATTGCAACTTATTGTGGAGCTGATGGCGGGGGAGAAAGGGTATAAAAAAGGCAGAAGGAACCAGAATGCCCTTTTCCCAGGAGACCAGCAAGGCTGGACGTCCTTGTCCAAGAGTCACCTGCTTGTGACTTCGCAGCAGCTTGCCAGGTAGGGGATGAACTTGCAGGAGATTTAAGTGTCCCCTTATACTGCCGTGCTTGTCTATATGTGTATGTTATGAAGCATTAATTGTCTCAGTACATTTAGAACATAAAAATAAAAATAAAAAAAATCCAAACAGGTAACGGTAGGGGTTGAAATGCAGATTAGTGGGCAGGAAGCCTCAGTAATATAAGCAGGCATCAACCCTTACCCTTTTATGGAGTGTTGATTTCATTTTCATTAGGGCATCCATTGTCATAAACACATTAAAAAATCACACAGTGATTGTTTTTCCTTTGCTGTTGTGGTGGCAGCAATATGTCAGTCCTCACAAGCATGACAACAGCAAGTTGACAACCAATAAGCTGTGTTGGGTCATACTTATAGTTCGGGTATTTTTGCTGCAGTGAAGAGCATGGTCAAGTATACGGTGTATCTCAAAGGCTAAGCTAAGCCTCCAAATGCTAAGCTAAGATTTCAGTAGTTAAACACCTGATGCGTATGTTGTTTGCCTTGGTAATAAGTAACAGGGAATGGCAGCAGCAGTCATGTGCCAGTAAATGCAACAGGGTTGTACCAGTGCCAGATCCTGTTGAGTGAGGTCATGATAAAGTCCTTGAAGCTGCTGTGCCAGGGTTGGGAAATCAGCCTGTACCTGGGCAAAGAAGGGATTTGTTCTGACTGGGCTCAGACTCCATGGTGTAGTTATCTACCTGGGAGCAGCCTAGGAAAGCTCCCGCCATAGGCTGGTTGATGTGGTCAGGGGGCCCTGGGTAGCACACCCTAAACCAACACACCTGAAAGTGGCACCTAAAGCTGAGCTGAGTTACCCAAAAATATTGGTCAAGTGCAATGAGGAGCAGGTATCCAAGACAGCTGCGCACAGCTGTAAAGAACCTTGTGGGGAAGCTGCACCTTGCTGGAGCAGGAGATGGGCACCAAGCAGGGCTCCCACAGTGTTGGGGAACATGGTTGTAAAGCCACCTACATCTGCCTGCAAAAATCTGCGGCTCAACTCAATTACCTGAACATGAGCTGCTGGAGGTGCCCTGGCTAGTTCCCCCTTGTCCCCAGGGGCTGCTTCTGGATGGCACTGGTCTTTGTAGGTCTGGTGTCATACTTGCATGGTGCATGGTACATGGAGATATTTTAGATCCCTTTGTACATTTGAAATGGCCCTGAGTGCCTGGGTTCAGGCAACAAAATTCCATCACAGATTTTTGCAGACAATGATGGCAGCTTTAACGCCTGGCTAGCATACAGACACCTCCATTGCAGACATCAAAATTTAGGTGTGGGAATCTGGAGCTGAATCCTGCCCTAACAGTGACATATTATATGGGAACAATAACAAATAAAAGTGTAGCCTGGATTGAAGTAAATGTTTATTTTAAATGGTTGGATTTGTAGATTTGCAGCTGTTGAAAATTAAAATACAGCATTTTAACTAACACTCTGTTGTAGGAATTTAGCTGTCCAGATAAAATTGATTCAACCTGAGGATGCAGCCTAAAAGACACGACTCATCTTGTTTGCTAGCATTGGTGATCCTGTGTGTGAATTCCAGAAAATCCGGTGTGGATATAGCTTAGACCTTTACTTCTCAGAAATCTTTAAATTCCTTGAGATTTCTGACCAACACTTACAATGCATGAGTCAGTGCATGACATTTTTAGTTTCATCCTATATGAAGTGCCATGTATATCTCTACTCTTGTCTGTAGATGTTACCAGTAATAAACCTGGTTTCATTTATACAGGATTAATCAAGAGAAGGTCATTTGAAATCAGTGGTGCTGCACCAGTATAAAACCAGTGACGGGTAGTACAAAATTGTTTCCTCAGAATTTTTTCACTGATGTCAAGATTCACACTTATGCTCAAGTGACTGCAATACTGGAGCCTGTGAGTTGTGTGCTTGATATTTTACTCCTACTAGTAAGTAGCCACTTGATCAGGTCCTGCCAGAGTAGGTCACTTAGTGGAATGTGAGATTATCAACCTGGTTTCCTCTGATTTTTGCTAAGAGAGGATTATATTTTCTGGTTTATTAGTATTCTTCAATGCAGTCTGTGGACCTAAGCCTAAAAGTATATGTCCTTCAGTATTATTTATTGCACAGCAGAGATTAATCCAGCTGTCATGTAAATGACTACAGTAGGCGGAGTTCTGCAGAAGGAAAGCAGTCCTCTCTTTGCAAATGTTATTGCTCAAGATAAGGGTGTAAAAAGCAGATTAGGAGATGACATGTGACGTGTCCTTTCCTCAGTCTAAAAGTACAGGATCATGAGATGAACTTTGCCTGACTGGTTATGTAGAGAGCATGCTCACATTTGTAGCTCTTATGGACAAGACTTTGCACAACGAAAGCATAAAATGACTCTCATGAGCTCCTTTCTCAGTCACTGCATATGTGGAGACCCTTTACCTGTGTCCGATTCTGAGGTAAGCACCTTATTTAACCTGTGGTTTTGCTGCTCTGACCTCAGAGGGGCTGTGTTTAAGGGACAGCTTTGATGAAGCTTCCAGCCAGGAAGTCTCTTTTTCTACTGAATTGCTTACACTACTAAAATCGGTCCTGAGCTAAAATCTGCAGAGAAGCTGAAGCATGTCTGAGTGAAAAGTGTGACACCATAGAAATTGGAATTTACACAAGTGCTCTATTTAGAACAGATTTCATGCTGTAAGTGAAATAAGTGAATGTAGAGCAATATATGACATTGCCCATTTTTCATACCTTAATTGCAGTAATCATCTGTTAAAATGCTGCCTGTTTAATAACTACCTACTAGCTAAAGTGCTTTCAGACAGTGAAATTTATCTTCATCTGTCTTTCAAACAAAAAGTGAAATCTGAAATCTGCCCACTGTATCATATGAGCTTCTAAAAGGGGTCATCAGAATTGTACTTGCCTGGTTGAGAATGGTAGGTGGAGAAGAAGGTGACAGAACTTAAGTCCTGTTTCATAGGCATCACTGTTAAAGGCAGATTCTGGGATGCATATTTTCTTTCAATATGAAAAACCTGAAATGCCTTTGTCTCGTTTGAAATAAATGAACAAAGTATAGCCAGAAACAAAACTATGCCTCTCTGTTTTGAAATACTTATTAGCTTTGAACATCATCAAAAATGTACTTGGGTAGTCTGAAGATACCCTAATAAAGAAGTAGGCTGGCTTTTTTTTTTAAACCAACCAACCAACCGAACAAAATCCCAACAGAAAACCAAGCTCAGAATTAGTTCATAATTTGTATGGGACTTGGGGCAGGGTTCACTTGCTCAGCAATGCTTTGGAGTTTGTCATTCATTCCATCAGGCATTCGTGCAAGCTGACACCCAACCCAGAAACACCCTTCTTCCTTTCTCAGTTTCTTTTCTGTTTTTTTATAGAGGGGTGAGGGAAAGCCAAGGAAATACTGAGAACTGGAAATTTAAAGAAAATGTGTATAAAAACTTTTATGTGCAGTATGTTGTTCTCAAAAACTGCAGAGGTTTTGCTATGAAGGTTTACAGCCAAATGCATTGAAAACCTTAAAAATGTTCCCTGTATCAAGTATTTCAGTTGAGGCTATTTTATTTCCAAACCTGTTAGACCAGTGCAATTATGACACCTGTGGGCACTAACCTATGTGAGCCAGATGTGCTGTTAAATAGGAACAACATGATCATTTTCCAAGCTTCCTTTCTAAAAACATAGTTTTTTTCCTGTATTGGTGTTAATGTATCTGTGGTCCCAGTCCGTATGAGTAACCTGCCACAGCATACAGAAAATGAGCTGTCCCTTTCCAAGCAGATGAGCTCGCTCGGCCAATTGGCAGATAGCTGCGCAATCTCTGTGTCTGACCCAAGTGAGTGTGGGAGTGCACGGTAGGAGGGAGCACGACTGCCTGTTTGGTATCAGCTTACAGCAGTTGCACTGCAGCCGTACTGTTTGTTTTCATCACTGAATAGAGGTTAAGCAGAGGAGTATCACAAAATAGTTTGGATTGGAAGGAACCTTAAAGCTCATCCAGTTCCAACCCCCTGACATGGGCAGGGACACCTTCCACTAGATCAGGTTGCTCTAAACCCTGTCCAACCTGGCCTTGAACACTGCTAGGGATGGGGTTGCCACAGCTTTTCTGGGGAAATCTAGTGCCTCATCACCTTCATAGTGAGGAATTGTTTATAATATCTGATGTAAATCTACCCTCTTTCAGTTTAAAATTGTTGCCCCATGTCCTGTCACTACAGGTGCTGGTAAAAAGTCCAGAAACAAAGCATGCTGGTTGAATTATTTTTATTGGTGTTACGTGTAACATCATAGTTGTGCGCTGGAACAAGTCCTTTAACACCAGAGCTGTCTTTCCAAGACACGTTTGTGAATTCAGGGTTTATGTTAGGGCCTGTACATGCTGCTGAGGTAACAGGTGAGTTTTTAGTCCTACTAGTCATGTTTGCCTAAGAGGTGCTGATGGTTAACTTAACCTTACTCAGCAGAAGCATCACGATGTCTTCCTTTTGGAAAGTTACTCTCTTTCTGAATTGTCAGCTGCATTTGTGGTGTTCAAGGTAACTGTTTCTTTTTAGAAATGTTAAGTTGATCTGCCATATGAGAAAATCACAAATGACTAACTGTCAATGATTAGCTTATTTGACTTGTTCACATTTAAAAAGGTTGTTTCTGATGAACACTGGAAGAGGTCCTCATCCCAGGATGAAGAGAAGGCAGACACACAAAAGGTCACACCCAGGAGATGGGGCTCTGGAAAAAGATCTCGGCCCAGGCCTCTCTCAGACTATGGCCAAATGTCGATCAGAAGTTTCTCTATACCAGAAGATACAGTTGCAGTGGAGTCTCAGATGACAGACTGTACAGATGGAGAAAATCAGCCAGGACTGGCTCCCGCTGGGTCTGCAATCCAAAGCAATACAGTAGGCTACCACAGAGGGAGAAAAAGAAGACCCATCTCCGTCATAGGTGGGGTCAATTTCTATGGAAGCGGTCCAGCAGAAGAGATAGAAGGTCTGCTGACACAAGTAAGATAAGAGATGTGCTCTCTGCAAACTGCAGAAGACCCTTTCACTTCCTTGTCTCTATCTTCAGCCTAGAAAATAGAACGGATGCTTCCTCTCTTCCTTCCCTTTTGTCAAGCTGACATCATGTACTTACTGCTTTCCTGGTCACTAATTACTTTGTCTTGTTGTTAAACAACAAACCAGCATGGAATAAAACTGATACTGACTTTGGGATAATTTTTTCTGCATTGTTAATTAACCTTATTTCTTTCTTGGAATGGTCATTCTGTCTCATAGTGGTATATAAGAGCTTGTTTGTATATAATACAGCTGTGTATTTAGTCTCCTTACAGGATGTAGGGCACAAGGAATGGAAGAGTATAAACTGATACGATAATAACACACTGTTTATTGATCATTTCAGATTCTCCAAAATAAGGCCTGCTCAAAACCTGTGGCCTTAGGTGTTGTGTTCAAAAGCTTGGTAGTGGCATAGCAAGGATACTTAAACTAATAAGGACATTGCTTAAGAAAATTGGTGATAAAAGATAAATTAATGATAAAGAATCTTAAGAAAACTGGCAATACGAGTAATGTCTGTTTATGTACTACTAAATTGACCTGATGGAACAAATGGAAGCCTGTAAGAAAATAGCATGTGATTGATTTAGCACTTGAGCAGTTCCTATATACTAACCTGCCATCTCTTTTGGCTTAGGTGAGAGAGTGATTTTTCCCCCACCCCAGATCTTTGAAAACTCATGGGAATATTTGAAAAGTGTAATGCTAATTCCTTCTTTCTTGTGTTTTGTTTTGGTCTGACAGCTTAGGTGAGAGAAAAACATTTTCAAACAATATGAAATCACTGGTTTTATAACAGTGTCGAGACATAGTTCATTAAAGAACCATCCCTGATGTTTCTGATTACTTAATAAAAGGCCTATGAACAGTATCAACTGAAAGATAAGACCTAAAGATGAGGTTCTCTGCCATTCATGTGCTGAAGTCTGCCTGCTTAATGTTGAATGTTTATGCGAGGTCATTCAGCCTGGGTAATGTGGAGTTGTTCAGGGTTGATATAAAATTAAACTCAATTTACAAATAAAGCAGGGATAGGTCCTCTGATCATAATTAAGCAAATGAATCTAAAGAAAATGTCTTCTAGATAAAGTTACAAGTAAACTTAATATTACCTCTTTTTAATGAGGCTCTTGAGAAATTACTAGCAGAGGATCATTCAGACAATTATTTTTGTCTTGTAAAATTATGTTTATTTTACTTAAAAGCAATACATTTATTTTAAGTCAGCAGATGTCCCAGGAAATGAACACAACTTCCAGCCATAGTGTTTCTGGTTGCTCTTTCACCTTGGGTTTCCCTTGAGATATGTGTTTACAGCACCAGCAGGCATTGCACAGGCTGTTCTCAAAGCAGTTAGATCCCAGAGCATTTGGTTACAGAGTATTTTCATCTTGTAATGAAAATTATAGAGCACGTCTGATCACAACAGAAGTCTAAGGAGTTTTAATACAACAGAAACCAGTAATGTAATAAAATATTTTCTGTGATGCTGGTAGATATGGTATGCAGTGTTTAAGCAATGTCACTTCAAAGTAGGGGACTTGGCTGCCCCTGTAATTAACTGGACTATCTGAAGAAACCTTACTTCATACTTGAGTTTTCCTCTGTTGAAGTTCCTGGTAGCTTTACTAATACTGGCTTTTCCTGTGTTCTCTGTAGCCCGTAACACGGCCACCCGTTCCAGCGCACCAGGTACCCCCTTACAAAGCTGTTTCAGCAAGGTTCCGGCCGCTCACCTTTTCACAAAGTACCCCAATTGGCCTGGATAGGGTTGGGCGGAGGCGGCAGATGAGAACATCTAATGGTAAGATGGGCAAGCCTTTTTAACTTTCTAGATCTCAACTTCATGCTCATTGGTCAGGAAGTGCATTGGAGTGTGGAACACAAAAGGGTGCAAACCAAATCGGTGACAAAGTAGCACCCAGCTAAGTTTTGCGAGTTTCTCATTAGAAGCTGCTATGTTAATGTAAAACTCGTTTTTCACACCTGTTTGACATTACTGTGGTTTATTCTTCAGTACCACTTATATGCTCATATTTTCCACTCTCTATTCACATACTTGCCTGAACATAATAGAATATAAAGGAAGGAAGTTCTAATATGCTTGAGTTCATACCCACAGTCAAACCACACATGTATTTCTAATTTCTGTTTGCCATGCATTCAGCTTAACTACCTTGATAGTCAAGCTTTCAGTAATTAAGAATCTTGTGTCAGAGAGCCGTATTCAGGGAGCCCAGCCAGTGTTCTGGTACATGACAGACAGGTTCTTGGAAAACATTGCTTTTTTTAGAAGCACTACCCTTTATCAGACTCTCTGAGGTGCACTGTGTATTTTTGCTGTAATTGTTTACTATTGGAGTACAAGGCTATCTTCAGTTAACAGAAAGTGTTATGTAGCGTTAGTGGAATGTTTCTTGGCAGGTGGGACCAGAAGAACCTGGGTTAATATAATTTGTGTTTTTTCATACTGCTGTAAACATAATATGAACAGTTTACTCATGTTTCACTGGCAAGGGTTGGAAATAAAAGCAGAATTTTCACTTTATATACTTCACTGTTAATAGTGAATAAAACACTGCTGGGAATCTTCACTCTGCCTTTCTGTGGAAAGAATAAGTAAAGGTGTCTGGATTGGGGCTTGCCATGACTGAAGTAGGAAACAACAGCATTTTCAATGTTTTGTTATTAAAACTATACATATGTTTGTACATATACATATGCCAATATACACACAAGTCAGTATTGGCTTTTCTAGTTCTAAGCTAAGTTTTAGCTGCAATGATGTCTGACTTCTGCTCAAAAAAATCCCTCAACTACAAATTACTTTATGTAAGAACATGTTAAAACTGCATTTTCCAATCTTCAGTAGAGCATGACAGTTTTCTTCAGAAGATGTTCTGCAAGGAACAGACTTGAGAACTTAGAACTACAGCAGTGAGATACATTATATATACTATATTAATATTTTCCTTTAATTTATATTGTAGTAGAATGTTGGGAACTACTTTGAAAACCATGGCTAGAGTGTGTCCTTGCTGTACGTATCTCAGTATGCTTAATGATCCAGACTAGACATCAAGGTAAATTAACATCTAATGCTGTGACCCTTGCTGAGATTACATACTATCTCAGTCCCTGATTCCAGAAGAGAATAACACTCAAAGAATAACAGGTTTGTCATGAGCTAGTTTTGGAAAAAAGAGACTCTTTAAGTATCACAGAGAAGGATGTATTTTTCTATATTTAGTTCTCCTTTCCATTTCATGTTTGGAAACCACATGAAATACTACTTGTTACTTAGACAATTGCCTGAGAGCATTCCAGGCATTTAGCTTTCAAATAATTGGCCTCCTAAACATAAGCATCAGGATGACAAATACAAAAAGCAAGATTCTGGCTGCTTTTGAAGACAATGAAGCCAAAGCAATATTGGTTATTCTAGATGTCACTTTCATGACTCATTGCAATAAATATAAAAGTTGAGCAGGAAAAGCTGCTGAAATCAAAGCCTTGAGGACAACTGGGGAATATCATCGACTTTGCAGTTTGAAAGCAGTTGTAAAGATCTGTTAAGTAGCTCCAGCAAAAAATAATGACATGACTACTGTCACACATTCTGATTGCTTTCCTTTCTCCCTTAAATTCACAAGGCATTTCCTTGTCTTTGAACATGGGAGAGTTTTTTTTTTGCTCATGTACAGTGAAATCTGATAGCACAAAAGCCCTTTATTGTAGAAAGAAATTCTAAACGCAAGCACTGCAAACCAGTGATGTCTTTTTTTAGTTACTTGCTAAAGCCTAATACATTGCATGTCTACTTTTATAACAATAGGGGATAGAATTGGAGATGTACATTTTTAGAAAAACAACAGTTACAAGACAGTAAATTGTCATACTGTAGGAGACAGAGTAACAACCAGCCAAGATGTAAGCGAAACTTCCCTTGGGACTTACATTGCTACTCTTCCTCTAGAACAATTTTTATAATATCTTAAAAACGTACCCTTTTTTTGCATATTAGAATCATAGAATAGTTAGGGTTGGAAAGGACCTTAAGATCATCTTGTTACAGCCCCCCTGCCATGGGCAAGGACACCTCACACTAAACCATGTCACCCAAGGCTCTGTTCAACCTGGACTTGAACACCGCCAGGGATCGAGCATTCACAACTTCCTTGGGCAACCCATTCCAGTGCCTCAGCACCCTAACAGGAAAGAATTTCCTCCTTATATCCAATCTAAACTTCCCCTGTTTAAGTTTTAACACATTACCCCTTGTCCTGTCACTACAGTAGCTAATGAAGAGTCCATCCCCAGCATCCCTATATGCCCCCTTCAGATACTGGAAGGCTGCTATGAGGTATGGTGGTGTGCAACTTGAACTTGGCTAATTTAATTGAGCTCCTTTAGATGGGCTCAGGTCTGAGTAGATGGGGTGGGATTCAGCTCAAGTCTAAGTCACCTAAATTTAGTCTAAATGTAGGTAACCACATAAGAGTTAAACATTAGAACACCCATTAGAGTCACTAGAGGACTAGAGCTTGATTCACTTACCCACCCCAGGGTCCAGTGCTGTGTGGGGTTCCTGAGGATATGCCTGCAGCTGTCAGAAATGACAGAGGACCTATGGGAGAACTATTCCTTTCTTTAGTGACAGCTGGAGGCCAGCAGGATATCCAAAATTCTTTAAATGGCACTAAATGTCTACATTTAAACAACTGATTGAGGCTCTAGCCATTGCAGTCAATGAAAGAGTAGGAATTGCCTTTGGATGTAGTGTATTGCTCTCTGAGCTGGAGCATAACCAGTATATAACCATTGTGCAAGCTGTATAGAAATAAGAGAAAATATTGTACCAGTAAAAGCGGGTGTCTAACATATTAAAGAAAATAAGAACCAATTCAGATAAGCAAATTGATTGTATTATCAAGTGTCACAGGATCCATGAACTAGAATGCCATGCCTAAACGAGAAACAATATAGTGACAGAATTACATTATGAACCACTTGAGATCACAGTATGCTAGAGATTGGAAGGGACCTCAAAAGATCACCAGGACAGTGACAGCAAATGTGACAAACCAAGGAACCAGAGAAGTTTCAAAGGCAGCAAGCACAGTCATAAAAGATTTAAATTGCTGCGGTGTGGGTTAAGCGTTGTTCTTGAATCGTTCCTGAGCTGTGTGCAGGATCACACATAAGAGCTACTCTGTAAGAGTGGGATGTGTCTCTATGGATTGCCCAGCTAATCTAGGTGACCTTGGCTGAAAGAAACAGATAATTTAGGGTGCTGTTCATTGAGCAAATACAGACAGATAATGAATCTTGGCCACTGTGTCCATAATACACTCTGAGCAAATATCCTTGCAGGAGTGAGAACAGTAAAAAAAACTTAAATGGTATGTGTTTTAATTTAGAAAAGGGAAAGCAAATAAAAGTGAGAAGTCATTTACGTAACAAAGGAGTTTAAAGGAGCAGAAAAAGATGCATTCCCTGGGGTCAGGCTCCTCCAAACCCATCTCTTCACCCTGGCAATAACGTGCTGGTGGCGATGGAGGAGCTGCCAGAGCCAGCAGGGCTGTAAGGTAAAGAGATGTATTAAACTCACCTGAGGAACAAGCCCATTATAGACAACCACTGCGCTTTGCAGGTATGAAAACAAATAGATTTTATTTGGTTATATTTTTATTCTTTGTTCAGGTTTGTAGAAACAAGGCATGAAAATCCATGCATTTCTTTCAAAAGAAGACTCCTAATATGGATGGAGTTGGGGGAAAACCCAAGTCCCCCCAGGAACTTACTGCAGTCCGAACTGCACATGTAGAGGGTGATGCTGAACCACACCTGAGCACTGAACGCTGGCAACAGCTCCAAGGGGGTTTAGGTCTGGGGCCCTGACCTTGATGTGCTGTGAAACGGGAGCAAAACTGGAACAAAAAGCAAGGAAACCTGGTGGGGTTTGGAGGAATTCCAGAGCCGGTGCCCAGCATCGCCTCAAGCATGGCAGCACTACCACCTCCGCCCCCCTCCGCGCCCAAGATGGCCGCAGCAGGCCGGCGGCCGATGAGGTGGGGCCGTGGCGGCCATGTTGCTTTGGGGCAGCAGGGCCAGCACCATTCCGCTGGGGGGCTTTACCTGTGGTTACCGGGGAGGAGCGCGGCTGAGGCGGGAGCGGGGCGCCCCGCCTGGCAGGGCAAGGCCGGGCGTGAGGAGATGGCGGGGCCGGGCAGAGAGGAGGCAGCCACAGGAGGGCGCGCGGGTGCTGGTACCTGTACCGCCGTTGGGCCCGGTGGAAGGGCGAGCACCGCAGTGCGGGGACAGGGCGGCCCTCGACGCCTCAGGAGCTGGTGTGCGGGCTAAGGGTCCATCTGCCCGCGCGTGTCTGCTCTAAGCTTCTGTGTTTGGGGTCTGATTCCAGCCTGGAGAAGAGAAGGCTCCTGAAGGGGAGACCTTGGAGCAGCTCCAGTGCCTAAAGGGGCAGCAGGAAAGCTGGAGAGGGGCTTTGGACAAGGGCCTGTAGGGACAGGCCAAGGGGAATAGCTTGAACCTGCCCGAGGGGAGACTGAGATGAGCTCTTAGGCAGAAGCTCTTCCCTGTGAGGGTGCTGAGGTGCTGGCACAGGGTGCCCAGAGAAGCTATGGCTGCCCCATCCCTGGCAGTGTTCAAGGCCAGGTTGGACACAGGGGCTTGGAGCAAGCTGCTCCAGTGGAAGGGGTCCCTGCCTGTGGCAACGGTTGGAGCTGGAGGAGCTTTAAGCTCCCTTCCCACACAAACCATTCCATGGCTCTTGTGATTTCCTGC